TCGGATCTCGGGGAGGGGGAGGGGGGGGGGGCCGAGCGGCTCGGTGCCCTCCGAGGCCCCCCTTGGGCCACCCTGGGGCGATGGTAGCGGATATCCACACAGGCGAGCTTGGGAGGCGGGCCCGTGCTGCGTGGAGCCCTCTTGGCCCCTTTGGAGCCCCCAGGGCGATGGTGATTGAGGCGAGCCTGGGAGTGGGGCCCATGCCGTCTTGGGGCCCTCGCGTGCCGCCGTAACGCCGTCGCGACGCCTTCCCGACGCCTTCTTGATCACTTTGTGGAGCTCCCAGAAGGCCCTAGAAGTGCTTATAAACACAGGCCCTCGCGGAGCTCTCTAGATGCCGTCACAAGACGCTCGCTGCCTCCTTGGAGCCCCATAGCCTTCTCGAGGCCCCCTCGGGTTCCTCATGGGGCCCCAAGCCCAACCAGCGGCTTGGCATAGCAAGCGCACCCGTGGCCGCCCTCTGCGTGCCCTGTTGGGCCCTTGCCCGCAGCCATTTCAGCATTCGGATCTCTTCTGATTTCTGAGCGCTGTACCCTCGCTCCTTCGACTCGTGGATGTCGTCGTCAGACGAGGCCGCCGCCATGTCGTCGTCCGACGACGCGGCGCCCCTGCCCGAGCCACAGAGGAGGAGCTACCGTGCAGCTGGATCAGCTGCTCGCTTGGACGCACCTGTGCCGAATCCGCCCAAGCGGGCGAAGCTGGCCAAGGACTACAAGGGCCCCGCCGCCAAGATCGCCAGCACCTCCGCCGCCCCCGCCAAGACCAAGCATGCCAGGGCGAATCAGACTCGGCAGAAGAGGACGACCCACGTCGGCAGCGACTCTGATGACACTGGGCCTGGCGCCAGGGCCATAGACAGCGACGAGGCCGAGGAGAACTGCGTGACCAAGATGGCCACGGCCGACGCGGCCGTCGGCGGCGACGATCCCAAGTTCCAGCCGTGCGAGACGATCTACCAGCGCCCCGGCCTCAAGAACCTCAAGGGCGCAGCCCTGCTGGAGAAGCTGTGGGACATGTATGCGGTCACTGGGCAGCGTGACATCACTGTGAAGTTTTTTACTGAGTCTGGGCAGAGGACGATGAAGCCTCACCCCTTGAACGAGCGGCGGCAGGACACAGTCGTGGCTGAATATACCGAGTCAATAAAGGAGGACGGCAACGTCGCGGGGGTCCGCGGAGACCCGTGGGCCGTCTTCTCGCCAGGTGGGCAGTTGCCGTACTTGATGATCTCGTACGGCACGCTCAGCCGCGCTGTCTACCGGGCGGCTGCTGAGGATCCCAAGAACAAGATGGTGAAACTTACGTTGAAGCAAGGGCTTCGCCACATGACGGTGCTGGACCACCGCACGCCAGACGACGTCATCAGGTTCCTCATCGATTTCCACAACGACTGGCACAAGGGCTCGACATTCACTCTCTTGCAGATGTTCAATCTTGCCAAGACTTACATTGCAGCGTTCAAGGCCAACAAGGCTGTCCAGGGTGACGAGTACGGATGCATATGGGACTTCATCGTCGACAGGTACCCCGAGAAGGACAGGAAGTTCAAGAGCGGCAACGAGATGGTCTCTGCCCAGGACTGCCGTCGGCAACCTAGCTTTTCACCGCCACCACCGCCGTTCAGATTCCTCATGCGATTCTGAAGCTTCAGGGCACGAGTGGAGGGCGGCTGAGGACTGAGTGCGATGAGGGATGTGGAGGGCCCATGTCAGTCGAGTCCGCGATCCCGACGTTTTTTCCAGGACCCCAGGGCCCAACCGTTACACTCGATGGCTCTCGGGCCACGCCTGGTTTGTCGAACCGACAGATATCGCCCCTCCCCATCACTCGTCGCATCGCGTCGCCGTCCACAGGCCCTTCTCAATGCGCTCAAGCGGTATAACCTCACCGACGCTACGTTCGACTACCTCGGCACCCACTGCATCTTTAACGACAAGCGCATGGACAACACAGTGGCGATATTCAACCTTCACCACATCGCAGTGTCGGTCTTCCATGATGTCATGCGTGCCTCCACCAGCATCGAGTACCTGAAGATCGTCTGGTTCGCTATCCTTCCGATGTGCGTGCCCGTGAAGTGCACGGGCGGGCGCGCGCCGCCGTTCGTCTTCGACAAGATACAGCTCGAGAAGTGCAAGTGGCTGGTGCAACCAATGGCAGATAGCGTGGTGGTCAAGCGCGGCGTCGAGCTTGCTCGGAAGCTCAAGGAGAAGCAGCTTGCAGCCGCGGCACAGGCAGCAACGGACGCGGGCGGTGGCGTGTCCTACTCCCAAGTCAAGGGCTCCGCCAAGGCTTCAGCCAAGGTGGCCAAGGTGTCATCGAAATGCATTCCGCAGGAGGATATGACCAACATGGATAATCACAAGGTGTGGCTCCTAGATGCAATGTCTTGCATCTTGTCGGCGGTGTCAGAGTGCAAGCTCGAGGATGCGGACCAGATGGCGATCTTCAAGCAACTGATCACACCCGCTATCGAGTTTTGCTTCCAGGGCACGATACGCATGGGAGCAACTACCTACACGAAGTGGTCGGATCTGCGGCCCAAGCTCCGCGACCTCGCAACCGCCACTGCGATGAGCCGCGTCGGAGCCTTCGGCGTTGGTGGCGACGAGGGCCAGCCCGTGCAGAGCGTCAAAGATATTCTCGAGTCCAGCCTCGACGCATCCACGACCGTCGACGTCGACGTCCGCGCCTCAGTCCAGACGAGGCTCCTAGCTGATTTGCAGTCGGGGGCGACCGAGTGGACCAACACGTTGACCGATTTCATCGCTGCCAACAAGGCCAGCATCCCCGCGAAGCGCCACCCAGCCTACCGCAGCTTGATCGATGATATGTACGACCATCTCGGGGCCAACGACGGACGCGCCGGGAAGGTACTTGCAGATGCTGCTACTCGTCCCAGTGACGACGCCTCAGTGTCGGAGTTCACCCGATGTGCCCTCGAGCTCGTGTACGAGAAGATGGATGGTGTCATGCCAAACGGCGTCGTGACTCTCTGCCAGCAAGCTTGCTCGTACCTCAAGTTGACGTCCCAATTGCCGGCATGCATACTGCGACATTTCGGCAAGGTCGAGGACCTGTTGTGGTTCATGCAGCTCCGTGCGACGTATGCCCAGATGGCCTTGGACGACGTGTTACATTCGCATGAGACCTTCATGACTTGCTCACGTGCCACCATCCACATCGACCTGTCCAAGTTGGCTGTGGCGGCGAAGGAGGCCGCCCAGCATTTGCGCCACTTGGACGGTCGCCTGCGGCCTGACCAGTGGGTGCCAGTCTACCTTACTTTCATGACGGCAGTGTACAGCGGCCACGTGCATGACTATGGAGAGTTGGTCAGGCGCATCGTCGAGCAGCACGGGCTCGGGGACGACAAGATGACCACCACCTCTCCGCCGAGTGCCACATCCAGCAGGGGGAGTACTGCTTCCGCTGGCCTGGTGGTCGGCTCGTCGGCGGTGGTGCCCGCGAACCCGCAGGAGCAGCGCCCGCCGACGACGGAGATGCCCGCGGCCGCTCCGACGCCATCAGTTTCTCCGTGGAGTTCGATGGCAATGTCTTTCCAGGACATCTACACGCTCAATGGGGTCATGTAATCCTCTCCGTCTCAATCCTCCCACCTGTAACCTCCTCGTCCTCATCCAGCCTGCACCGCGTTCCTCCTCCTCCTCCTCCCCCATCCTCCCCCTCCCCTCCCTGCCCTGCTTCTCCTCTGCCTCCTCCTCCTCCTCCTCGAAGCCTCGTCGTCGTCCTCCTCCTCCTCCTACTCCTCATCCATTCTCGCCATGCCCGTACGTGTCGTCGCGATCGTGGCTGATCCATGGTTTAGGCCGTCTCGTGCCATACGTCTGGCCCATCAGCCTCTATTGCAATTTCTGGCCCAGGCTATCTTGGTTGTCCCTACCTAGGCTCTGCCGGGAAGGGTTCATACTCTCTTAGCTTAAAGGGGCCGGGCAGTGTAAAGCGCCCCGGGCGGTTCCCCCAGTCCCCTGGGAGCGGTTCCCCCCAGTCCCCTGGGAGCTTTAGCTTTAGCTTTAGCGTTAGCTTTAGCGTAGCTTAGCTTAGCTTTAGCTTAGCTTTAGCTTAGCTGTAGCTTAGCTTTAGCTTAGCGTTTCGCTTAGCTGTTCGCTTAGCGTTTAGCTTAGCTTTAGCTTAGCTGTAGCTTAGCTTGAGCCTAGCTGTAGCTTAGCTTTAGCTTAGCTTTAGCTTAGCTTTGGCTTAGTTTTAGCTTAACTGTAGCTTAACTTTAGCTTATATTTAGCTTAGCTCTAGCTTAGCTTTAGCTTAACTGTAGCTTAGCTTTAGCTCAGCTGTTGCTCAGCTGTTGCTCAGCTGTTGCTCAGCTTTAGCTTAGTTTTAGCTTAGCTTTAGCTTAGCTTTAGCTTAGCTTTAGCTTAGCTTTAGCTTAGCTGTGGCTCAGCTTTAGCTTAGCTTTAGCTTAGCTTTAGCTTAGCTTTAGCTTAGCTTTAGCTTAGCTTTAGCTTAGCTTTAGCTTAGCTTTAGCTTAGCTTTAGCTTTAGCTTAGTGTTACTGTTACTACTAATGCTGCTTTCCTAGGGGTTCCAACTCCTAGGCAGGGTCGCACTGGGATAATGTTTGTTTTTCCTTCGCCGCCCTAACCCTCGCGACCCCCTGCGCCCCTCTCCCCCCGTGCGCCCGCCTTCCCAGGTTCTCGGACTCGGAGGCGGTCACGCTGGCGGCGGGCTCGCACATCAACCTGGCGTCGGCCGTGTGCGGCGACAATTCTCAGCCACCCGAGGCGTGCGTGCTTGTGCTGCCCCAGAGTGCATTCCCCACGTGTTACTGGATGAAGATGTTTCTCTTGTGGCTTGAGTGCGAGCTATACAAGCTCACGTTCAACGAGGGTGCCAATCAACAATTGGAGTTCATCGCCCACGACTGGACCCCCCCCGCTGCAGCCGCGCATGCCGGCAAGTCCAGGGGTGCACACGATGATGCCAAAGGGGTCGTGCTTGCTAGCTCGCTGGATGCTGTGACCGAGCTTACGTTCAGTGGGACTGTGAGTCTGAATCGGGGGCCCCGTTCGTTCCTGGTCTGCGCGCTGAAGGTCCCGGCACCAGATGAGAGGGACTCCCTCGTCCTGGGCGTCTACGTGACGCCCGAGAAGGCAAGCTCGATCACGTCTGCATGCCCTGTGCCAGCTTGGATGGTATCTATTGTGTCTGATCAGAGTGCTGCCAACATGATCGTCAATCAGAGACTCACCAAGCTCGAGTTGCCTTCTCACCTGTGTATCCCGAGTGCTTCTACCATCACGATCCAGGTGCCGTGTCCTGCTCCATCTCTCGCCATCCCTGCCCTTCCTCCTCCGTCGCTCCCCCTTGCCCCCTCCCTCTCCCCTTCCCTCCTCATAGGTTACCTACCTCTCGCCGTCGACGCCTGTCAGCGCCGAGGACAGCGGGCCCACGCAGCTCACTCGGGTTGAGCTTGGCGGCGAGGTCCAGGCGAAGAGGAGGCAGTCGAGATGTGCCAACCAGCCACCGAGTGAGGTATCGTCGGTTTTCGGTGCCAGTGCTGCGTCGGCCTCGATGGCCAAGAGAGCTGCCGCCAGTGCTCAGTCTGGCGCGGCGCCGGGCAGCGGCGGGCCTTCGGCAGCTGTGCGCGGCGCGAAGAAGGATAAGCTATTCCAGCATCTGTTGAATTAAGCGCAGTCGTGTGGTTTGTTTGTTTTTCAGGTTGCTCCCCTCGCCCTCACCCCCGCTTCACCTACTCAACATCATAAACCAGCGTCATTCCTTCTCAATCCTGCCCATCTCCTACCGACCTCGTCGCCCTCGCAATTCGTGTGTCCAGGTGCGTCTACCAATGCATTATTTTAGACATGTTAGCGTGTCCTTGCTCAGCTCGGGCGTGGCTGTGCATGCAAGGTCCGATGCATCCTTCTCGGACGGTCGCTCGGGGGCGGCCGACGTTCTCCGCTGAGAGTCAGGGCTCGCAAGCTCGGTCACGCCGCGCGCCTGTCGTAGCGATGCGGGGCGCAGTGGCACGGCCAGCTGACCTCGCCCGATGCGCCCTCCTAGCATGGCGCGCGTGACAGGTGCCAAGTCAGGGGAGTGGAAGAACGATGTCGTGATGAGGTGGGGTGGCGAGGCAACCTGGCACGCGCGCGTAGCCGCGCCTCTCGCTGACCTCCGACCTGGCGCCCGGACGCTCCAACCCTCTCACAGAATCATCATATCAACATCATCTGTCAGTGTCACATCACACGACGCACAACGTAATACATCATACGTCCGTCATACGATGTGCAGCGTATCACAGTATGTCACCACATCGATCCACCATGCAATGCTAGCCATAAGTAGCGACGTACACACATCGGCTGCTCAAACATCGGCAACAATCGCCACCATCATCTCATCATCGCCTACGGGCCTTAACCCTGCAGGCGCTAGTCCTACATGCCCTAACCCTACATACCAACATACCCTAACCCGACATGCGCTAACACAACAGACCCTACGAACCCGAAAGGCCCTCACCCTACACACTCTTACCTGCCATACCCTAACCCTGCAGACCCCAACCCTACAGCCCCCTAACCCTAGATTCCTTCTTCCATCCACCTTACCTTCGTCTCCTCGCCCTGGCCTATCCCTTCTCACTGTAGTCCTTGCAGCATCGCAATCATCGTCTTCGCCCCTCTCCTCCTGCCCCGCATCTTCCCAAACGACTCGCAACCCTCCCAGGGCCCGCCTGGTCCGAGCGCCGGCCAGGACCCGCGGTGGAGCGAGGGCGGCGCAGCTCGGCCCGAGAAAGCGCGGCGCACGCCGCGAGCTCGTCGTGCCGCCGTCTCGTCGTCTCAGCAGGTCATGATGGTCGTGACAGTATGGTGTGATCGTTTAAGTTCTACATGGGTGTGTACATACGCATATGCATATGTATATGCATATACAAATGTAGTATACACATGTATACGCGCACACATACGCATACATACATGCACATGTGTACAACCATGCGACAGTGCCCCGTGTATGCGTTCACATACGCATGTTATCAAATTTAGATAGCATATCCATTAAATGTATGTTAGTACGTTCGCACATATTCAACACTATATCTATACTATACCTTTCTTCCAACATCTCAGTGTATGGTTATACACACATTTACACCCTCAAGCTCCTAGTCGGCGTTGTGCCACAACGACTATTCATATGCATGATATCGCGTCGGCACGACCTTTGCCACGCAAATCCCAGGAACCTTGTACTACCGCTTCCTAAGTTGACTTTTCGGGATTTCCATATTCTTGGAGATACACAGGCGGCGAGGGTGTCGAGGAGGGCGAGTACTGCGCCGCCGTCGCGGACGCCGACATGCTGGCCGATCTGGACAAGCAGTGGCAGACCGTGCACCTCAGCCTCCAGAAGGCGGAGGTGATTGCGCGCGAGAAGCGGCGTGTGGAGGCACTGACGCGGCAGTTCGACGACATGGAGAATTTCCAGGACCGAGATTCCGACCTGCGCTTGGCGGAAGCCGCGAAAGAGGCCCACAAGGCTGCGAAGGCGCTCACCAACTGCAACAAGGAGGCGCTCACGAAGAAGCTGGAGCAGACGGAGCAGATGATTCAGGCCACGCGGCCTCCTCCGGGAGTCGCCGGGAAACGCGCGGCCGGTGGCGGCGGCGGCGGCGGCGGCGCGCCGGCCGGGGGCGCTGAGGGCGGGGGGGCGAGGCGCGCGGTGCGGGTCGTCGTGCCCACTGGAACCGAGCCTGTCAGCATGTTCCCCCCCGGTTTCTGGAGTGCTTTCGACCCCGTCGCGTTTCCCTACGGCGACGGCGTCTTCGGACTCGACAGGGAGGCGAAGTTGACGTACGACGAGTGGTGCAGGTGCCTCATGGCTCGCGAGGAGCTCGAGTACGAGGTCCCTGACGACGTCTCGGCGCCCGACGCTGCGCGGGCGCCCGCGCCCGACGCTGCGCGGGCGCCCGCCGCGTCTGAGTCGCCCGTGCCGCGCTGGCGTCGCCACGCGGACCTGCTCACGGCCCAGTATTGCCTCTGGCGCAGAAAGGCTATCATTCAGTCGGCGAGGTTATTCGTGCGCAAGCAGCGTCTGGGGGAAAGCATCGCGGACCTCGCCGCACTGACGCCGGAGGATCTGGCGCAGGTCGTGGCCGTGCTCGGCAGGGGGGCGGGCATCAAGGAGGCCCTGGGCCTCGAGGGCTTGCCCCGGAACGTCAAGAGCGCGCTGCGCAGCTTGCTGCTCAGCAACCGTGATGTCGTCGGGTCCGACGCGCACCGGACCACGCTGCGGCACATCAGTACCAGCTACACCCGGCTCTTCGGGCCGCCCCTGGTGTTCACGACGCCGAACATCGCGGACACTCGGAACCTGATGGTGTCCCTGATGTACGAGGGCGCCTCCGGACAGCGATGGCGGCTGCTGGAGGAGACTGCTCCTGTGATGCCCTCAACGCGGGACATGCTGCGGCGGGTGGCCGCTGACCCGGTGTCGCAGGCCATGGTCACGAACCTCATGCTGGAACTGTTCCTGGAGCATGTCGTCGGCGTCACGCGGCAGCGCGGGGCCACGGGCGTCTCCGACGGCGTGGCCGCCACGGGGGCGTGTGGAGCGTTCGGGCTCGTCCGCGCGTTCTTCGGACCCGTGGAGTCGCAGGGGCGCGGCGGCATCCATCCGCACATCCACCTGTGGCGCCTGCACCCGATGACCGGCGCGTTCCTCGCGAAGCTGCGCGCGGGGGACGTCGAAGGCCTCGAGGAGCGTCTGAGGAGGTGGAGGGAGGCCGTGCTCGCCAGGGTCGGCAGCGTGCAGTTCGACGCGGCGGAGGAGGTGGGCCGGCAGCTGGGCTTGGACGGGCCGGACCGTCTGCCGCCGCTTCCGCTCGGCCCGCGGGATCGACGTCTCGCGTTCGCGGACGGGAAGCGAGAGGAGAGCGACCTCCAATTGAAGTACGATACCATCGCTGGCGCCTCGCGTCGTCAGCTCGGGAAGTTGTGCAAGAGGGCGTACGAAGAGGGCCGCCGCTCCGTCCGTGCTGACAACCAACTGTCCACAGAAGAGCTGCGGAATCAGGTTGCGGCCATGATGAACGTCGATCTCGTGGAGGAGCGGGCGATGCTGGAGCAGCAGCCCGCAATAGAGGGTCCGCTCCGGCAGCGCCCGTTCGCGCCGCTGGCAGATCCAGAGCCCGATCCCCATGAGCAGCGGGCACAGTACCCGGCGGTATTTGGAGAGCCTCTCACGGGTGCGCACGTGACGCTGCAGCCGCAGTACCGCCGCAAGCCTGCGTACCGCGTGGTGCGCGCGGACGGCGCCGCGGCCATGCACTTTGCTGAGTGCCCGGGGGATGAGGCGCGGACCTGGGCGCACTGCTTCGCGCGGGACGCGCGCAAGTGTATCATCCGTGGCCACCTGCACAGGTGCGGTCCCACGTGCTGGAAGCACAAGACGAACGACGATGTGCCTCAGCACTGCAAGGTGTGCCGGCTCGGCTTCTACCACGAGTACGAGACTGCGGTCTACAGCCACCCGTCCAGGAAGCGTCCTGCCGCCGCCTTCGTCTGGCGGCGCCTGCGCAAGGGGAAGGATTTGGTGCTTCCGGAAGATGCGAAGGTTCAGTACGCGTGCGGTCCGTTGGAGGAGGGGGAGTGGAACCCTCCTGGCGAGCGCCTGGATCTGGACGACGTTCCGGCTGAAGGCTACGGCCCGTGGCCGCACCGCTGCAACCGGTACGGCAGAGCTGGTCGCGTCGACGTGGTGCGGTACCACCCGTACCACGGGAGCACGAACCCTGTGGGCCAGGTGTGTCTGCGGAGCAACCTGGACGTCCAGTGCCTGGACCGCGTGGTGCTCGACCTGCCGGGCGACGACAGCGTCGGGGGCGCGCCCGCCAGCGACCCTGTTGTGCCGCCGCCTCCGGAGCCCGGTGCGTTCGCCGAGCCTGTCGGCGAGGCATCGGACGCGCTGGCTGGCGCCGGGACTGGCGGCACCGGTTGCGACGAGGGCACTGGGCAGAGCGGAGGTTCCACGGGTTCCGGGGCGTCGGCCGCAGCGCAGGGCGGGGGCGGGGCGGCCGAGGGGGCGGCGCGCGCGGCTGCGGCGGGGGGCGGGCGCGTGCCCGTGGGGCGCCGCCTCGGCCTGCCCAGGGGAGGAGGTTTGCTCGGCGGGGCGCCGACCACGATGGACGATCCGAACGCGGGGGATATCTGGGGCTTCAGAGAAGAGGATGACGAGCCGTGGGATTTGGCCGATGCGTATGGCTTGGATCCGCCGCCTCCGCCGACGCCGGAATTCGAGGACATCGCTGGGTTCAGCGCGGCTTCGTGTTACGACGGCAGCCGGCCCGGGTTCGTGTTCAAGAAGGGGGAGCAGGGCCTGGGCTACTACAGCGACCGGCGCGCGGAGCGCGAGCTGCCAGAATCAGCCGTCGAGACAGAGCCGAGGTCGCGGGCGCCAGGCCGCGCCGCGTCGCGCGCGGCGGCGTCTGGCAGCCCTGCATCGAGCGCGCCCGCGTCGCCCGCCGCCGCCGCAGCTGCTGGCGCGAGCGGCAGCGGTCCGCCCGGCAGCCTGCGGGAGCACGTGTTGCACTCGCTGGAGGCCGTGTTCATGGACGCCATCAATATGGCGCACTACCAGACGGACTACACGACCAAGGCGGGGCCGATCGCGGGAGACCTCGGAGTGCTGCACGCGCAGAGCACCGGGTTGGAGTGGCTCCGACTCCAGCAGAAGGCGGAGC